GCCAGAGACCATATTTGTGTTTTCTTTATCCTCTGAGGTCAGAGCCTTTGAACTCCATTTGATTTGGTTGGGAGCAAGTAAGGATAGGTTAGACACAAGAGGAAAGGCAGGACTAAGTCTGCAAGCCACACTGTTGGGTGGCATTTATGTGGGCACACTGTTGGACAGTGGGATATCAAAGTGAAGTGGCTGAGAAGGGGGAAGATGTTTGTGATGGTTCATGAGACCTCAAGGATTGTCAGAGCCTCCTAGGAAAAGCTTCACGAAGACTTTGTGGAAGCAACAACTCTGGACAGTTGTGCAGACAGGTGGAAGGCTTTGGAGGTGGCCTTAAAGCAGACACCAGATGACATAGATGCACTCAAGGCCAGAAAGGTTACACCTCAAGAGTTGTGCCCCATACTGCAGAGGTCACTCTGAGGTTGTGCTGGCCAAGGCCCTACTGCTCCTGCACTGAAAAGATACTGTTCTCCCACTCACCAAAGGAAAGAAAACGAAACAGACTTCTCCACAGTGTTTCACTCACTCTGCCTCCTCCAAATTGCCCAACCCCCTTTTATTTGCCACCTTTCTTCTGGGGCACCATTATCTCTTACCCAGATCTTTGCAGGAGCCTCCTGAGGCCATACTCTCGTTCCTTCTGCCAATGGCGGTCAGAGGAATGCGAATTTCAAGCATGTATCTTCTGTGCTCTCCCTGCTGCTTAAAAGTGCCCTATACCTCTCTTAGCATGGAGATGGAGCCTCAAAGAGCCAACCTCCAGCCCCTGGTCTGTGCTTTTACCAAATGTCCCCACAGCCCTGCCTCCGTGGTTCTTTGCTCCATCTAGCTGCAGATCTGAGTGGTGTGTGGTACCACCCCGTCCTCAGGGGACACTCTTCCCCACACCAAAAGGTCAGATGGGGTATAGACCTCTGTTCTGTCCCAAAGTAAGCTTGGAGCTTCTGCAGACCATCAATCGCTTGTTCTTTGTTGTTTTGGCCACATCTGTGTTCCTCGAACTTACTGTCCGTAGTCCCATCTGCCCCGCCCTAGGCAGATAACTGTAAGTGACATAGCTTACTCAATGGAAGGTATTTCTGCTTAATTTTTCTTAATCCAGTGTGTCTTCTAGCACAAAGGGTGTGGAACAGTTGTGTTTTGCTCTGGCGGGATTACCTGGCGGGAATAACCACAACATGGCTTTGCCAGCAGCATTGTCAAGGCAGCTGCTGCAGGCTGATGGATCAGCCATGGCAAACACTGCCCCAGGCAGGACAACCTGCTTCTCTACTTTGCTTGTGTGGCTTCAGAGGCATACATATATTTTTTTCTCATTAGATACTAGACTTTATTATTTCAATAGGTTTTTTTCCTCTCGGTAGTGCCTTGGAGGAGTTGCCATGCAGTTCTGTCAGAAATCTGTTTCACCGGTGATGTGCGATGGGTGTGTGGAAAGTTTGTGTGTATAGCATTTTAATAAAGAGCTTCCCAGAGAATCCAAGAAGCATATGAAGAGTAGGCTTGGCTGGAATTGGGGCTGGTTACTCTTTCAAGGCTCAGGTCTAACTGTTGGGACAAGAGTTAGAGTGTCGCAAATGTCAATGCTAGCCTGGTTCCTTTTGTCAGGACAGCATTTTTTCTGCCGCCGAGTGTCTCCACCCAGTCCATTCAGAGCAGGTGCTCTAGATGTGACCATCATACTCTTACTGCAGTAACTCTTCATTCTAGACGTGGGGCAGGAAGTGTTCTCTCTGCTGGTTCTGTGGGAGCATCGTTCACCTGAATGTCCTGTGCCCGGGGCAGTGTTCTGTCTGTCCCTACTCTTCAGATAGATACTCATACTCTTCTCCATCCCTTAGAGGAAGAAACAAGTGTTAATTACCAAAACAATAAGGCTTTCGCTTTCTAGCAGCCTCAAACTCTGTGGGCTGGATCTTATTGAAAATTTGAAATTTAAATTAAGATTTTAGCTCCTGAACTCACAGCATAGCTGTGTCCCCATTTTACCTTTACCATAAACCAATTAAATGGTTGCTTTAGAAATGGTGTTGGCTTCTGCTTTTCCCTCCAAAGCCAGGCCCTGTGAGCAGATAAATATGTAATTGTAAAGAAATCACTAGTTTTGTTTTATAGAAAACTCTAAAAGTACTTGTGAGGGTGCCCTATCCACAGCCTTGTTCAGAAGGTAGACACTCTGTCCTCTTCACTGATGCCAAAGCTATTCACCTGGAGGTACCGTAACCATGCATGCCAAGGAAGACCTAGAAGCATTACATTCATTTCATGAAGGACATGAAAGATTTTAGGAATTAGGTCCAGTTTTATTTCAAGATTGGGTGACCACGACAATCATCATTGCAAGCAAATCCTTTTGTTCTGACTTCTAGAGACAAGCGCTTGCCTGTGTAAGCTGGGTTGACCTCAAATGTTGTGTGGTCCTCTCATCTTAGCCACCTGAGTCCTAGGATTGCAGTTGTTGGCCCTACCCTACCCTACCCCAAAGCCTTCCTAATAGAGAGTTCCTCAATAGAAGTGCGTGTCCCTGAAAAATTGCCAGTTAAGTCTATGAGCACTAAGCTAGCTGAGTCAAGGGAAGCAGTGGAAGTAATCCTGGGACTCCCGTGGCCTATACATTGTGCCCACCTAGAGCAGCAGCCATTCAAGGAGTAGCAGCACCCCAGAAGCTCCACAGAAATCATTGCTGTCTTAGCGGATTCCTCCTACAACTCCATCAAGGAAAGACTCTCAAAAGCCCAGAAGTGGAAGTTGCCTGATGAACTGATCAAAAGGGCCTACTTGAGATGAAAACTGGGTTGACGTTGCAAAGCATTTAAAGCTGCACATAAAGTTGAGACACGGAAAGGCCAGTCTCCCAAAAGAAAGGCCCTCCATGACTGCTTCCTGGTATTGAATGGCATTTCATAAAGTTCTTACAATTGAAAATGTCTTAAGGCGGGGCTGAGAGATGGCTCAGTGGTTAGGACCACTTCTTGCAAAGAACCTGGGTTCAGTTCCCAGCACCCATGAGGTGGCTCACAACCATGTGTAACTTCTGGTTCCAGGGCACCTGATACCTTCTCCTGACCACCTCAGGCACTAGGTACACATGTGGTGCACATACAGACATACAATCAAAACCCTCATTCATACAAAGTAAAAATAAATCTAAAAGAAAAACAAAACAAAATGTTAATGTCTTCAATGGAAAGCCCCTGAAAAGACATGATGATGCAGACTTCCTTTCAAGAACTGCCTTAGTAAGGGCAACCACGTACAGAGAGGCCTTGCTGGAGCTCAGGCCTCAGGACAGCACTTGCCAGCCTTGTTGAAAATTGTTCTCATAAGAACCTGGGTTTACCCTAGACTGACAGGTCTCATCTTCACCTAGAGTCCCACCCCAGGCCCATTTCACTAAAGCTCCACCAGGCTGCTGATAACTGAAGTGGGAACTCCATCTTCCAGCAAGCATCCTGTTCAGAACTTAAGGGCACTTGACTGTGGTTTATCTGTGAGACACAGAGAGCCATGTCAGTGGGAGCTACTTCTCAAAGTTACATGGTGCTAGACTGTCCCTGTGGTTAAATACAGTGTCCCTAAGAACAATGCTGAGACCAAGAAAAAGTTCTTATTTTAATTTCTCGTATAAGCCAGATAGTTGAGTCCACTTAGAGACCGATGCACAAAAGGAATGTACTTAATGGTTTTGAACAATAAGTTTTTGACTCTTGTGAAAATGTTGACTGCTATACATTAAGAGTCACTGAAGTAGCTCAGAGAGTGAATAGTTAGGTGTTTGGGACAGGTGAGGGGAAAGTTTAGCCTCTCCTCGGGGTTACTCCTAGCAGCAGCATAGCCACAGTTGGGGCAAGCTTTTCAAAGGGGTGTTGTTACCTAAGGCAAGCTTAGCTTACAGTGCAGAGTCCCAAAACATTGCTCGCAGTTAACCATGCTGCTTTAGCTGCTCTCCCATCTCACTGCTAGAAGCCAGGAATGAACGGGAATTGTCTCTTACCAAACATAGACTAAGTTCCTCAGAGGTGGTGACATCTCTGAAGTAAAGACACTTCGGCTGTCCCTTCCCTGTGACATCATGGGGCAGAGGAAGCTTTTGGACTCCGCTTCTGGCCTCTGAGGTCTTCCACCACCTCACTCCTTAAACCACATACATAGATGCTGTGTTTTTAATAGGACCTGATTTCAAAAAGCTAAATAATAGGACTGAGGTGGAAGCAAGCCTTTCTCTTGTACCCATTATATCAGAAAAATTAGGGCAAAGAACTGTTTTAACAGCTCATTTGCTGTTATTCATCTCTTGACGTCTGGTTTTGATGTTAGGGCTAGAGAGGTGGCTCGGTGGTCAAGCACTCAGTACTCTTGCAGAGAAACCGAGTTCAGCTCCCAACACCCTCATCAGGGTTCACAACCACCTGTGACTCCAACTCCATAGAGATCCAGTATCTCGGGCCTCCATGGACACCTGTATGTTCATGTTCTCTCTCTCTCTCTCTCTCTCTCTCTCTCTCTCTCTCTCTCTCTCTCTCTTTCTCTCTCTCTCTCTCTCCCTTTCTCTCTTTCTCTCTCTCTCCACACAATACACAAATTAATAAATAATAAATAGATAAATAATAAATACATCTTACTGCAGCACCAAGACTGTGGTTGTGCCTTCTTAGGGTTTTGGGCCAGGCAAGTGGGGCAGGGGCAGGGCAGGGCAGGGCTGGGATGACCCAGGATTTTATCCTTGGTGCCAAACAGGATAAAGAAAAGGTTCTTTTAAAAATTAGACATTGATTTGGCTTGCTCTTGTAATTCCTGTTTCTGTTTGTCCTGGGCATATTGAACAGTAACTCAGAACACTTGACACGATAATGAGTGTAACTTATTTGTGAATGGTATATGGAATATTTGCCAACCAGCAGAGTTCAGCCTCTCTGAAACATGTCAGTCTTGCCCCTACATCTTGAGATGACTGCCCACTTGGTACTCAGTGTGTGTGTACCTGTTCTCTCTTCCTGCAGGCAAGGCACTTTTCCTGGCATGAACCAGGGTGGACTCATGGCCTCCAGCTCTCCCTACAGCCAACCCATGAACAACAGCTCCAGCCTGATGAACACACAGGCACAGCCCTACAGCATGACACCTACAATGGTGAACAGCTCTACAGGTAACCAGTGCCCCCGTCTCTCCTCTTAGGCTTCAGGGTGAATGTACCCAAATGCTTGAGAAGGGGGAATCCCCCAGTGCACTAAGTCCACACCTCTGCTTTAGAAGGCTTCTGTAGTCTGTGACCTGATATAAATGCTTTTCCATCATTTGAACACTGCATCAACATGTTTCAAGCATCTTTGGATTGACTATTCGTTGTACATTCTCTTTATTCTTGGGAGTGACTAGGAGGATTGAAGGGTCCTAGAGCAAGAACTGTCACTTGGCCGTGACAGAAGTAAACGTGTAGGCTCTGTGATTCAGAGGAGAGGTTGCAGAGCCGAGCAGAGGAGCCTAAAGTACTTCTCCCTTTCAGGACAATACCTTTCCACATGTGTGGCAGTTGGCAGCTCCGCAGAGCTGTCTGCAGGTTGTCTCCAGAGAGCTGTCCAGCTGTGGTTACTACTCTCAGTCCCCTTCTTAGAAAATATTTGCCTTCTTACAAATCCAGCCTGCTTAGTACATTAGGGTTCCTATCCAGTTGTGAGCATTGTACAAGGCCGTTGATACTTCTCAAGATGAGTGCACCACCAGAAATAGGAAACTGGCATTTGGTTGAATGGTAGTATCCCTTTTGGTAGGATTCACCCATTATTTCACACAAGCTTGATGAAGATGGAGAGTCTTCCCTCCAAAGCTTCGGGACCTGTCAGAAACACATTGTGAGCCGTCACTCCCATGGTCATCAGTTACCACTTACACAGCTTTGCCCTTGCGCTCTGTGTCTGGGTATCCTGGAAAGCACCACTCCCCCTCAGCTATTTGTCACAGCCCAGAGGGGCCAGTCCTGTTACCTGCATGAGCAGCCAAGCCACCCATCTCTAGGGGCTCACTTAGCAGCCATCTTCCCGGATGACTCCTCTATAAGTTTAGAAAAACATAGATCTGAAATGTCCCTTCCTAGTATTAGGCAGGCGGTGGTTCATGGGGGAAATGAAGTATGTAGATCCAGCAGCCTCCAGCAGGAGCCACCTCCTCCCTGCAATGCTGCCCCCACCCATACAGAGTCTGGGTTGGGACAGCCTATGCTCTGTCTGGCTTCCTGCGATAAAATTACTTTTTAAACTGGAATAAATTTCTATCTACTGTTAGCGATACTCATTTTTCCCTTTTTCTTTAAACCCCAGAGCTCCCAAAATACTAATAGTAAACAGATGGCACACTGTCCTGACTAGGAAGATATATGTATTCTTAAGAAAGAAGCAGTTTTATGGGGATTCATAGAAAGGGTTTCATTTTATTATTCAGATAATTCAGCGATTCATTACTTCATGCGGAGGAAATCTGCTCAGTGAAAGGCCATTTATCCTTACAGCTTTCTGTATAGCATAGCAGTATATTTTTCATGGCATTGTGCATTTCAAAATATTGAATTTTTAATAATTCAAACATTTATCAAATTTTGTTCTACACATTTATATGATTTTATTTCCACATTATTAAATCACATGCTACCTGATAGAAAGCAATCATTCAGAACATCTGAAGGATATTGACCATCTGGTATTTCTTGTGTCTATTGACAGGTCAGTGTGAGTCTGTTATGAGTGTGTTCATCTCTGAGAGGAACAGGAATGACAGGATGTCAACAGTGTAGCTCCCCCCCAGCTGTGTGCTACCCTACATAGTAGGAGTAGCTCATTGTACCATCTACCTCAATGGCTTGGGACTATGGAGATAAATCCCCATGGGTAGCAGCAAGGCACTCTGGTATTCCACAGAGGAAGGAATGTAGCAGAGATGTAGGCAGGGCCAACAGTGGGATTTTCTGAGATTCCATTAGCATCCCCTATAACAATCATCCCAGAGTTCCTTCACTAAGCCAGTTAGTGGTATAGAAGATGTATTGTACATTTGTGCACACACGCGCGCACACACACACAAACACACATCTTCCTGTGTAGTATGAGTGAATAATTACTTAAATGGAGGCAGTGTAAGTATAAAATGGGGCAGGTATTTCTCCCCTACGTGCCAGAAGATGTTGGATGGGAAACACTGGGGATTTTCCCTATAATGGAGCAATTTGGGTTTGGTGGGATGTTGATAGTCACTTCATATTTAGGATTAAAATTTGTTTTTAAAAAATTGGATTAAAATTTTGCTCACTTAATACTGTGAGCAAAAGTACAAGTTAAAGGTAAATTTATGTATACCCTTATGCAAGACCTGCACTGTAGTTGGGTACATTGATTTGTATTAACATTTAAGGTGCTCTTGTCTGCACATGAGGCATCGCCTTCAAGTGGACATCTACATTCCAACAACAAGAAAACCTACCCGAGCTCTAAGTTCGCCTCTCTAGAAGCCTCTCTGTAGAAACGAGACATTTCCACTGTGCTACCCTGTAGGATAGGAGAACCCATCCACACTACATCAAAACCTCTCCATGGGGAGCCTTAGCCAGATTTGAATCCCAAAGGTGAAGTGCCCTGTCACTTGCCTACCTAGACACCGAGTGCCAGCTCTGGTAGCCTTCATGAAGAAAGGAAGTCAGTTGCACTACGACAGAATTACTCAAGGACTGCCTACCACAAGGCAACTGGAGTGCCTGTTACAGCTGTGGATCCTATCTGAATTCTGAGGGTGTGACCAGGAGGCTGTATGCATGTGGCTTTCACATGCATAGGCAGGACAACTGTAGGGGAGTATTTTACTCAGTGGTCACTTGATCAGTCACTGTCCACCTTCAAGAAAAGGGGCAAGCAACCCAGGGACAAGGAATGAAGAAACTGAGGGACTTGATAACTCATGACAGCCAGGTTTTTTAACCTGGAAAACTTCCATGCTGAGGTCATGCCAAAGTACATCTGTGTGCCAGGCTTCTTGGTGTTCCTCCTGCCTGGAGGAGATGCTTACCTCCCTCCCAGAGCAGACCAAGCTTCAGAGGCCAGTGCGGAAGCTGTCACCTGGGCACATGATAGAGCCATGCCCTCCTCATGCTCCCACAGAGGCTGTGGTACAAGGAATGGTCTGCTTGCCGGTGCTGTGAGGAATAATCCCCAGAGATCTTTATGTAGCTCTTACATGTGTTCTATTAACCATGCAGTGTAATCTGCTACACATCAAATCTTTGAGCCGCTGATGTTTGAGATGCAGGGGCAGGACCATCACAGTGAGTTTGAGGATAGCCTGGACAGTACAGTGAGCTCTTTAAGCCAGTCTAGGCTACAGAGAGAGAGCATGATTCAAAAAGTAGCCAACAACCAATTCATGAACAAAGTAGGCCCTTTGTGTGTTTCTAGAGACAAAATATTTCTAGAAAATGAGATGTCACCAAGAAAGGAAACAGCATTGTGTGTTTCGCTACCTTCTGGGGATGGTTGTAACCTTGTAAAGAACAGAGGGAGAAGCTGGGAGGAAGCAGGCCTGCTTCACTCAGTCCTGTGTTTCCTGAGTTCTTGGGAATGCATGAATCCAGCAACCTTAGGACCTTGACCCCTGGTAGCTTTAAGAGGTCATTTAACTCCTAAATCCAATGGCAGGACCAGAGTCTGTACTTAGAATGTATTTGCATTTTACAGGCAACCCTTGCTATAGTCTCAGATGCTGTCAAAATGGATCTCTTGTTGTCCCTGGCCACACCCACCCAAACTTCATACTCTGGATTCCTGGGAATGGGGGAATCAGCAGTTGATGGAAAGCATCCCGACAGTGGTGGGGCCTCCTTCCCAAGGAAAGAGTAAAACCCAGTGAGAAACCACTGCCCTGGAGAGAGGGCAGATACATGACTCTCTGCAGTGACTCTTTGAAACTAAGCATTTCAGTAAAAGAAAAATAAAATCCACAGTAGGAAAGACAGTGCAGTCATGTAGCAAAAGCAGAATCTATGTTGTACTTAGAGAGTATCATTCCATTCCCCCATCTCTCAGAATAATAGGGAAATGCAGGTATATTTGCATATCTAGGATGTCCAGTTTAAACTGTATGATAGAGAATGAAGAAATTTGGGGAGCTACAAGTCCCACATATCCTTATCTTTATCTGAGTCTGATTGTGACATCAGTATGAATTACTGCTGATTATTATAGTACAATTGGCTTAGTTCTTTCTGCTTAAAATTATTTTTGTGTACATTAATGTATAAAATGCATAAAACATATCGCTATTCTCACTGCCAAAATAATATCCAGACATAGCTTATAAATACTGGCAAAACAGGCAGCTATATCGCCTCTGGAGCAGCAAGATTTGGTCGAAGCCATATGATGTGACCTTCCCCCTCTCTGAATTGTGCTGGCTGCCATTGCCCTGAACAAGGTCTGCAGAGGAGCAAGGACATGCAGACAGTCCTACACAGGCCCTTTTGCTCCCTGCACTACGTTTGTTTCCTGTCTTCTAGTGTCCAGGCTCACTAATTCCTGTCTCATTGGGCCCTGCAGGGAAGCCACACTAAAGCAACCACTGCTTTGAGCAAGGCGGGCTGCTGTAATATCGCTCAGCTGCTTTTTCTGAGGCTTCACACATTCGCAGAAATAACACATTTTTAGCTGATCCCAATAGATTTTTCTCTGCAGCTGCACCACTTGAAAAAGCTTTTTGTTCCAGTTCTTAAAGTCTAAGTATTGAAAGTAATTTGAAAAAAATCTCAATTATGATTTGTGTGTGTTGTGATGACTTTAAGGACTGACTGGGCTGCAAATGGGCTTTGCAAACCCAGCTAGTGTGCCTGTGGAAACACAGGATTTCAGAGCACAGTATTGAGTGTGCCGATGTAAACTCCAGGGCACGTGGAGGGTAGGCTTATTTGGCAGGACCTGTGGTCTCAACCTGCAGTGATGCTAACGATATTAACAAATTAGCACCATGGAGCTTGCCAGCTAGCTCACCAGAGTCTGCCCATTCTCTCACTGCTGTAATTAAAACTAATTATTTTCTAAAACATAGTAATGCACGAATATGTGCAGCAGTCGTTTTGTAGTAGGCGATCTGCGGGGCCTTTTTAAAGCAGGCTTGCTTTTCCTTTTTTTCTAGTACATTGTGCTCCCTGTGTGCTGCCTGGTTGAACCCACACTTGCCGTTGCATCTGCAGCAGGTCCCATTTATGAGACCTTATCATCTTGACAGGGAGTAATTGCAGTGTCCCTTCGTTCTTTACACATCTGTTTGTAGCTCACTTGCAGCTCCTCTAGCCCAGGGCTGTGCAGATGGCTGTACAGTAGGTTCTGTGGGAATTCAGCTCTGTTCCCTTGGGTAGATACACTGCTGTATACAGTAGTCTGATTCTTCCCTTATGAAATCAATTGCCTGGGGATGTCTTTTGGCATCTACAGTGAGTATGTGTGAGTCAGGTGACCTCTGACCCTGTGCCTGGGCCTACATGGAGCTTGCTGCATCTCTCGGACCCTAGATAGAAAGTGTAGGGAGAGTTCTGGAGTTCCTGTGGTGTCTTATTGGCTGTAGAGGTTGATGACTGCAGGCTCTGTGCCAGCTGAGGGGACAGCAGCCCTCTGTAGTCATAGGAACCTTCCACTAAGTCCTCTGTATACTTTTTCTCCTTTAGTGTAGACTAGACCATGTGAAGTAGCTAAGATTTTGCAAGCAGATTACTTGAACTGAAGAAATGGAGCACCAAGCCCTCTCGAGCCCGGGTGATACATACACTGCAGCTGCTTCCAGCACCACATGGGCAGTTTGTATGACTGCCCATTTCTACTTATTGCCTACTCTCTTAAGCTGTGAGAAAGATAAAAATACTATAAGTGGCCTCAGTATTTGGGGATCTTGAGTATACACTGCAACCCCCCCCCCAAAAAAAAAAGGGTTTCAGGCATCAGCGTGCTCCAGGGTCCCATGCCTCTCTTCACTTTCTTGCCTCCAAGGGATGCTTGGGTGCTGGGGTGCCAGATGCTTCACACCGTAGTTCCTGTGAGCAGAAGTGCTGTGGGATATCCCACGTTTAACCCTGACTCTCTCCGTTTTCCATTAGCATCTATGGGTCTTGCAGATATGATGTCTCCTGGCGAATCCAAGCTGTCCGTGCCTCTTAAAGCAGACGGGAAAGAAGAAAGTGTGCCCCAGCCCGAGAGCAAGTCAAAGGTACTTCCCCCTCCCTGCATGCCATGGTCACTGACCGCAGGGCTGCCTTCTGTCCTCTGCCTGGTGCTGAGATACTGTCTCACATTTCTTTGCGCTACACGCCTTCATGTGCTGCAGTCTTTCCTGACCCACTCCCCACCCTGCATGGTGTGGATTTGAAAGTTAATAGTTCTTACAGCATTAAGTCACAATGGGGGAGGGGTGGGAGGACCAAACCTGCCTGAGAGATGCTGTTGGGGGACGCACGGGATGTCTCTTGGCTGGTGAGGATGCTTGTAACCATTTTGTCTGCCTTTAGTTCAGAGCATCCTGTTTTGGCCACCTTAGCAACAGCATGCTTACTGTTTCACAAGTAAGGTGACGGCCTTTTCTTTTCTGTTGTCTTACTTTCTTGTATAAAGGCTATCCATGCTCAGCATCCCATCTAAGCTTAAAGCAAGCATGATGGCTTTGTGGGCTTTCCACAGTCCAACAAACTGACCAGCCATACTTGGATGTTTTAGTACTTTGCTAGCACGTGTTTTTGCATGTGTTTGTGCATGTCTTTATGTATACATTATATAGATGTGTGTGTGTGTATGTATGTATGTATGTATGTATGTATATATGTATGTATGTTAAATTGGTGTACTTTTGTTGTTTTAAATAAAGTTTCTTTATTCCTCTACCACAGGATAGCTACAGCTCTCAGGGTATTTCTCAGCCTCCAACCCCAGGCAACCTGCCAGTCCCTTCCCCAATGTCCCCCAGCTCTGCCAGCATCTCCTCCTTTCATGGAGATGAGAGCGATAGCATTAGCAGCCCAGGCTGGCCCAAGACTCCATCAAGCCCTGTAAGTGGCCCTGGTTGTTTGTCATGTTTTGGGGGGCTGGGAGGTAGTTAATTAATTATACTTTAATGCTTGCTGATTTGTTTTATAAGACTCTTCATTGTTGATCCACAGAAAGGCAGAATTTATAAGTAATTGAACTAGTAACAAAACAAATGTATGTGAGTCATAGATCTTTCTGGCATTATTAGCAGCTGTTCTGAGGTGAAGGTCCTCCTCCCTGGGGTGCACGCTGTGTGTCATGGAGGGTGTCTCTAAAACCAACTGCTGTAGTTTACATAGAAACTAATAGCAGCCAGGAAATAAATGACACATCTGGCTCCTGGTTTAACTTTGACATGGGCTACTTTATCTAAAACTTGATTCCAAAGATGCTTGCCTGAAATAAATGAATATTAGAACCGGGTACAGTGTATCACAACAGCCGCCCCTTTCATTTATAAACTGTATGTCAGAAATGGACTAAGAATCTGCACCAGAGCCACTAAGAGACAAAAGTGGCATTCTGCACAAAAATGCTGGCTATCTTGAGATAAGTGTGATGTGTCAATGACAGCAATGCCAGGTACATGCCAGGAAAAGCTCTTCTGACCACCAAATTGGACCTTTATTCCTTCCAAAAAAAATTATTCTGTACCAATAAAAAAAAGCAATATAGTAACCTTTTAGTTTACATTCATATAGAAATCAAAAGATCTTTAAAAAAAACTTAACATGAAACTAGTTGTCAAGAAACTTAATGTAAGGCAATGCATCGAAGAGCCCAGCTCAGGAAGAGTGGCCTGGAGGGAAGAAGCCCCGGGCTGTGTAGGATCTGGCAATCTAGTCAAAACCCAAAAGGAGGCTATCATTAATTACCCATTCACTGGCTTAAAATATAGGGCCAGAGCAAACGTTTGTGAAACTCTGCTGCTATGACCAGCATTTTCCTTTTCAGAGCAAGAAAGGTTGCTCAGGGCATCCCCTTCCCCGAAGATGTGCTTCAGTTTTGAAATACCCAGAATGAGAAGTGACCTACTTCCAGCCAGATCAGAGGGAGGGGGAGCCCACACCCCCTGTTTTCTGTGCTATTGTGCTTTTGCTTTGAGTCTCAGAAGACATCCAATATTGTGTGGGTTTGGTGTTTTTTATTTTTCAGTAACCCACCCTGGACACCACTTCTTCTTCTCCTTCTTCTTCTTCTTCTCCTTCTTCTTCTTCTTCTTCTTCTTCTTCTTCTTCTTCTTCTTCTGCTCCTCCTCCTCTTCCTCCTTCTCCTTCTTCTTCTTTCTCTCTTCTTTCCTTTCTCTCTCTTTGTAACAGAAAAAGGCATATGAATTAATAATACTAAATGAATGGGAAGATTCAAAACATTTACAAAAACATTTGCATATTGGCTCAGTAATAGAAAATGGTAATGTTTAAAACTTAAGATAATAATTGAGAGTAATTAGTGAAAATGAAGACCTCTAATAGACTGGAAAACATGCTATACCTCTCATTGTTGGTCCTGGAATCACAACTGAGGGAGATGGGTGCTGCGTTCCAACTTGCTACTCAAGCTGCCCTTATCCAGCGAGGCCTGTGCAAAATTCGTACCCCAAATTCCACTTTCTAGCTGGATGCAGTGGCAATGTCTGTAAACGTAGAGTAGGGAGGCTAAAGCAGGAGGATCATGTTCGAGTCTAGTCTGGGCTACATAGCAAAATCCGGCCTCAAAAAAAATGCAGTTTTATTTAAATGTGATAGGCAAACTGAAGTACTGACCCCATTTTCTGATGACAACAATTGAAATGTAGTGTTTTTCTTTTCCAAATGTTGCCATATATCTTATCTCTTTTCATACCACAGATTTGCTTTGTGTTTAAGAATTTATAAGCAAACCTTTGGCTCCAGTGCTAAACAAGGACAAGATAGTAGGCTCTTGCTGCATGAGATGGGTATTCCTGAAGGAGAATGCAGTTCAGTGCAGTGCAGGACCTTCTGATCGCTGCAGACATATGCAATTCAGGAATGGTTAGCTGCTCCTTCTGAGATACCACTTCAGTTTGTGCTTGAAATTGCTCTTAATAGTGTCCCCAGTAAAGCTTTTCTAATAGCAGGCATGAGCCAGGCGAAATGACAAAGCTGCTGCAGTTGCTTTGACAGTGTGCTATGGACCCACATTGCTTTGTTAGAAAACATTCTAAAATATAAATAAACATTTGTCCATCCACATACACATATACATAGAACCAAGCATATGGTAAAGACTGCAGAAATGTAAATCTGCCTCAGAGGCTTGAGGAAATGTGCGTTTTAGCTTAATTAAACTATATATGCAAGGAAAACATTTGTGGCGCCATAAGAATATCTCGCTGTAATTTTTCCACAGCGTCCATTCCTTTTTTTCTCCCTTCCCCAGTAGTTTCAGAACCTGGGATATAATGTTTATAGCATAGAAGCAGTTTCAAGTGACCCTTGGACACCTGCAGAAGTTACCTGGTCTTCCTGAAGGCCTTTCCCACTGGCATAGGCAGAGTGTCTTAAAGACCATCCTCAGATGGGACTGGAGAGATGGCTCAGGGAGGGGGTAAGAGCTCTTGCAGAGGACTAGGTCTAGTCCCCAGCACCCAGTGGTGGCTCACAGCCATCTGTAACTCCAGTTCCAAAGGATCCAGCACCCTCTTCTGGCCTCCATGAGCACTGTACACACATACTACACACATACAAAGGCAGCATTCACATACACATAAAAGATAAATAAATTAAAAAATAAATCCAAAAGAAAAATCAAAGCTTCCTCAAAGGGTTCATCCAGCTAGTGTCTAGGAGAGAGGAGGTGCTGTGTTCTGTGGCAGCGGCGAGCACGTCCTTGTTTAGCACTGGAGCCATAGGTTTGCTTATAAGTTCTGAAACACAAAGCAGCTTGTGGTGTGCTCTTCTTCTTTGTTCTCCTAGTTCTCTGTTCAGACACCAGCATCTGCTTTGGACGGGGATTTAGCTCCCAAGCCCTGGGCCAGAGAGGTGTCAGCTGTTGCTCTCTCAGCTGTAGTGTCGCTGTGGCCACCACACCTTTTGTCCTGGGCATAGGCTATTGCAGTCCATTGTTAATTCTTACCTGAGCACAGGCAAACTTTTTACACAGTTTTTTGTATGCTTAAGCATTCATAGAACACCTCTCAGACCATTAGTGTGAAGGACACTATGCCTGGTGAGTGTGGTCACAATCACCAAGTGTAAGTGGTGCAGAGCAGCGCATTACACTCTGAACAGAGTGCTGCAAGGGAGCAATCCGGATGTGACAGAGGAAAACTGAGGCCTGGTATAGGTCAACTAGTGGGCTCCTGAGAGATCATCGCAGGGTCATCTACATACTTCAGCTATGTGAAATGCTTTTGCCTGCATAGCAGAGCCATAAGAATGCTCTGGGGAAAGTACAAAATTATCAATAACTATTATTTGTTATACTGAGGAGATGGCTTAGCAGTGGGAGTGCTTGTTGCGCTGTCAGGGATCCAGTTTCAGGGCCCAGCACCCACAACCCATGTTGTGTGGCTCACAACTACCTGTAACTCCAATTCCAGGTGATTGGTACCCTTCTTCTGGACTCTACATGCATTCACACGTGCACACGTACACACAGATGAAGACACACACATGGACAGCAACATACACACGCATAATATCAAAAATGCCTTTTGAAAAACTACTCATTGCCCTTTCCTAATTATAAGGGAACAGATTAGAATAGCAAAAGTTAACAAAGAGAGATGACCAAATTAAAACCCACATATGCAGACTCACCAGTATTTTGGGTCTTCTTCCAGCTGTAAGGATCCTCTCAAAAGAGGGAAAACGCTGCTGTGCTCCAGTCCTCTGCCTGGACTCAGCTTCTGTCCCCAGGGAAGAGCGCAGTGGTCGCATTGGAAGCTGGATCTTACCTCCAGGATGGTGGCAGGTCTTTCAGGTCCTTCTAAACAAAGGACTGCCTTTATAGCTGTCTCCCTTAACTGCAAGGGCACTGGCCAGCCTTGCCCCCCAGTTGTCTATGAGGGATGGATCTGACTGTAGAGGAAAATGCTTTTTCCTTGTGTTCTTATCTCATGATTTCTGTCTTAAAAGCACTGGGCTTATGTTGAGTGACCCTTCCTAAAAGAAACAGCTCTCTGCCGCCATTTAGCAGCCACCTACTAATGACCGTCCTGTTGGCAATAGCCAGGTTTTTCTGCAGGGTTATTGGTATGGGCATCATCTGTCAGCTCTGTTGGCAGTTTCTTCTCTTAGTAAACAATCTGCAAGATTTTCTGTAGAAAATAAAGTTTATGAAGATATAGTTCAAAAACTTGTCATTTGGATATTACACACATACACCTTAAGTATTGCAAATTTCTTATCTAACCTAATTTTTTAAGAGTCATTTATTTATTGTGTATACAATGTTACGCCTGCATGTGTGCTTGCAGGCCAGAAGAGGGCACCAGATCTCATTATAGATGGTTGTGAGTCACCATGTAGTTGCTGGGAATTGAACTCAGGACCTCTGGAGGAGTAGTCAGTGCTCTTAACCTCTGATCCATCTCTCCAGCCCCTGAAGTAATTTCTAAATGACTTGGAGTTCAAGTTCAATGCCAAAGTCAGTACTAAAAGATCACAATTAGCTGGGCACTGGTGGCGCACGCCTTTAATCCCAGCACTCAGGAGGCAGAGGCAGGCAGATCTCTGTGAGTTCGAGGCCAGCCTAGTCTCCAGAGTGAACGCCAGGATAGGCTCCAAAGCTACACAGAGAAACCCTGTCTCGAAAAAAAAAAAAAAAAAAAGATCACAATTACTTCCCATTCTAACCATGTCACCCCCCTACCCTGCCCTTTAGTACTAGGGACTGAATTTCGAACCTTCCTGTATACTATCATTGGACTCTATCCCCAATCCTTTTCCTACTTTTTTTTTTTTCAGATTTAAGACAGGAACTCAATAAACTGTCCAGTCTAACTTCAAACTTTGTGATCCTCCTGCCCAGCCTTCCAAATAGCTTGGAGTACAGGTTCTCAATAGTGGGCCCAGGTCATCCATGTTTATGTATTTTAGGGACAGATTTTATGCCTCAGTAGTCCTCAAGTTAGAGGTTTAACATAGGCAGAATGGCCTGTAGAGGGGAAGCTGCCACTTGACAAGCCTGGAGCGTGCTTAACAGGTCTATAACCACACTGGGGAACTTGTCTAATAACCTTTGTACATACTGAGAAGCTCAGAACCCTTACCTAGGGAGAGCTGGTTGCCCAATTGCTTATAAACGCCAGCAACTTGCAGGCACACCTGTCTCTTGTCTGTGGTTCTGTCCTGCACACTGCACGGCAAGCACCAGGTATTTTTCTACCACATGGTTTTGTTTTCATAAGGACACATACTAATCATTCTTACTTTGAGAAAAAGTAGGAATATTATTGAGGGTAAGGGGCTCTATGACATCAGACACAGGCATTCAGTGTCTGGGGTAAGGGGCTCTATGACATCAGACACAAGCATTCAGTGTCTGGGGTAAGGGGCTCTATGACGTCAGACACAGCTGTTCATTGTCTGGAGTAAGGGGCTCCTATGACATCAGGCATGAGAAATCTGGCCACAGGAGTTCATTGTCTGGGCTCTTGGTCTTTTATTTTTCAGAAGCACATGAGACTTCATTGGAATCTTGCCTTCTGGGATTCAATGCTACTATCGGAGTGTTTATTTTAGTTTAGTTGGGTGTTAAAATGAAGAGTTTATGCCCTTTTATTTAAAGTCAAAGTATATTATTTAAGAAAAATGTATAATTTGTGCCTGAACTAGTAGCCTCTGTTCCCAGCTGTTGTATGATAGCTGTGGTTTTTAAATGTATTTTCTTGTACTTAACCAGTTCTTGGCTCTGTCCTCACCTTCTCCCCTGCCCCATTCTTGTCCCCTTGTGCCCACTGCCACATCTTTGTGACACTAGAAGTCCAGCTCATCGTCCACCACTGGGGAGAAGATCACAAAAGTGTATGAGCTGGGGAACGAGCCAGAGCGGAAGCTGTGGGTTGACCGCTACCTGACATTCATGGAAGAGAGAGGCTCCCCCGTGTCCAGTCTTCCAGCAGTGGGCAAGAAGCCCCTGGACCTGTTTCGACTCTATGTCTGTGTCAAGGAGATTGGCGGTTTGGCACAGGTGAGAGTGAGTGAGGAGCAAGTGTTGCAGACTGGACATTGAAGGGATGACTTCCATTTAGGATATTGCATTTTGTTTCAGTTTATTTCCACAGAGGAAAAGCTAAGACTGTAGAAGGCCATCTTATTATTAGGACTCTGTAGTGGCCGGAGAGGGCTAGGATTCCTGACTCTCCACTTGTGTGGCCTCATTTTTCTTATCTATAACAGATTGCTAGCCTTTTTTCCCCAGCAGCCCCAGAATTCTCTGGAATCTGTGACAGATTCATGATCAAGTGTTTTAGAAATGACTAAATTTATTATGTGGGTCAGATAAAAATCAAATTCACTATTTTAATTCAAACTGAGTATAGTGGGGCACACCCATAATTCCATACGTGAGAGGTGAAAACAGAAGGATCAGAAGTTCAACGCCAACCTCAGCTATTGTGAAACCCCCATTTCAAAAGAAAACAGAAAGAGAAATTCAGTCATAATTGTAGAACCATGCCCAAAGCTCCTGGATAGCTACAGGGCTAGTATTGTACTAGCCCACAGGGCCAGGACACTACATGGGAAGGAGTCATACCCAGGTACAGAGTTCTTGGCGGTGCTCATTTTCTGTCTGTGCCAATACTTGTTGACTGTCAGGATAGGTGTCCCCTAAGTCTTGTGTCCTCATCACCCCAGTGTTTACCCCGTTTTTGGTGAGGAGTGTAGTTGGAGTGAATGCATCCTGTTGTGAAAACAGAGTACTAACTTCTCCTCCTTCCTGTACCCCCTCCCCTCCCACTCTGCTCTGTCTCCCCTAGGCTAGACTCTAATGCAAATCACCATGCCTAAAGAACTAGAATCCACTCACCGGGCGGTGTGTGCTGCTCTGTTACCGCAGCTCATGCAGAACTGGGCACACAGTGTTGCTGGCACCATGCTGCTTTCCAGCAAGCATGGGAGCAGGTGCTATGCCCTGACATCAAAGCCCTGCACTCTAGTTGACCAAGCAGCAGCAACTGCATTTCTCAGAGCCGTTAACGGGTGTTTATTGTGATTATTTAGTACTAAGCAAATGAATGTGAAGAGCCTTGTGCTAAAGTTTGGATCCAGATATTCATTATTTCATGACAGTTTCACGCTACTCAACATAGCACACATCAAAAGGCACAAGCCTCCGTCTTCCCTTCCCTGAGCTATTTGTGTGTCTTCATGTTTCATTCATGACTTTATCGTTTCATAACCCATTCCTGGGTAGGAATGAAAAAGTTGAAACAATGCCCCTGTCTCTGTCTCTGTCTCTGTCTGTCTGTCTGTCTTGTCTCTCTCTCTCTCTCTCTCTCTCTCTCTCTCTCTCTCTCTCTCTCTCTCTCACACACACACACACACACACACACACACTAACACTCACATACACACACTAACACTCACATACACACACACCCTTCTTGGGTTGCTGATGTCAACCTCAGGTAGGAAGCCCTGTAGGATACATACAAACCTGTGCCCCAGACACTAAGATGCTGCCAACACTCCAGCTAGGGAGCAGTAGCCCTGCTCTAGACACTTCCTGTGTCTATCCCTCAGGGAGCCTCAGTGACTGAAAGCTTATTGGAAGAGTGTAGCCAGGGTCACAGGCACATACTTTGGTGGCTATTGGAGGGAACATTATTTTTTCATGCAAGTGCTGTCACTTTGTTAGTCATCCTGTTAGAGTTTAGGTGGGGATGGGTGTGTGTGTGGGGGGGGGTCTCCATTCATCCTGCGGCTCAGGAATCCGGAAGCTCTTATACAAACCTCTAGGAGATGGAGCAGGCAGAAGACCCCAGCAAGTGGGCTTTTATGTAGCCATCAGCAGGTTCCTTAATGGTTTTATAACTGTAACACTGTCTGTGTGCTGCTGAGTGGGAGTGATGAGCATTGGTTAAAGAAGGCAAATAAAAAAAGCGAAGACATTAAGTGCTTGTTTGTCTCCTGGCTTTAAACAAGCCTCTTCCATGCAAACCAATGATCCTACCCTTTTTTTTTTTTTTTTTTTTTTTTTTTTTTTTTGCTAGGTTAATAAAAACAAGAAGTGGCGTGAGTTGGCAACCAACCTAAACGTTGGCACTTCCAGCAGTGCGGCCAGCTCCCTCAAAAAGCAGTATATTCAGTACCTGTTTGCCTTTGAATGCAAAATTGAGAGAGGGGAGGAGCCCCCACCAGAAGTCTTCAGCACTGGGGATACGAAGAAACAGCCCAAGCTCCAGCCGCCATCTCCTGGTAAGTGACAGTGCTACAGCTGGGCCAGTACAGGCAGGGCAGCTGGCTGTGCCAGACTCCAGACCTGGGAGAGGAACGTACCTCCTCAGCAGTGCTTCAAGGAGAGTGAAGTATGGGCTTCATGTCAGACTTAGAAGGCAGCTCTCCTTGCCTTTCCTCGTCTCAAAGGGGACCTTCCAATCCTGATCTGTATACCTTTGTTTCTAATACAAGAATTTCAAAATATTCCATCTAACTCTGGACAGAGTAAATAAACATACACCTTCTGATAGTTTACAGTCCCGGTGCTGCCACCTTCAGGCCCAGGGGCTGGCTTGCACCACCTCTACTGTCTGGGCCACTCTAATTTGTACTTTAAAAAGAAGAGATTGGACTTGGTTCTGCTGTTTCCTGCCCAGCAAGTTCTCACTGAAGGGAACCCTGCAATGTCATGGAAAAAATCCTTCTGTGCCATTGTGAGTTGGCTCCTTCCTGCCCTTCCACCTAAGCTGTGGGATATGGGTCATGCTTTTCAGCTCTGTCTGACCTTTGTCCCCCATCAGACTTTCAAGTGTGAAATTACCAAACACTGTGCACTGGTAACTCCAAGTTAGAGACAGGAAGACATTGGCCTCCTGCTTAGTTGTGAATGGTAGTTCTCACTGAGGAACATCCCACAATTCCTGGCTTCTGGTCACTGGTCATCACAGAGACCACATTTAAGCCTAGTGACCCTTCAGCACTTGGTGGTGCTATTACAGTTGCTGTATAAGGTGGAGACTGTGCACTGGCCCACCACATGGCGGGTTCTGAAGCTGGCTGACAGCCCATGTTTCTTGAGTATGTACAGTGTGCCAGGTGACTTCTGTATACTTGTCATTTCATCTTTGCATCATCCCTGGGTGCAGGAGCAATTTAAATGTCCCTGAGAGAGTAAAGACAAAGTCTTGGAACCCAAAGCCACACAGTGAGAGTGCAAAAGGCCTGTTTCTGGATATTCATTGAACCCACCAGGTCCTCAGCCTAGATGGAAATGCTGATGTTTACATCTAGAAGCCAGAGAAAGAATTCTGTTCACTTCTAAGGATTCTCTGGCCTCTGTTAGCATTGCAGAGCTGCTACTCTTTGCAGTCAAGTGGTCCCACATAAATACAGCCAGCTGTGCACTGCCCTGACCATCCCTAGGCACAGGCCTGCCAGTTGGGAAAACCCTCCCCTCCAGCCTCGCCCTTAATGATCCCGAACTGTCACCATGCAGGGTATACCTGAGCACTGGCCAATCTAATTTTTAAAACCACACAACATTACTTTCAGTTCACAGAATCAAAGAAGCTGCCCATGAACAGCTCTGAAACTATTTTTCCAAAATAAAACCCCAGTGGGGTGCAGGGTCTGAAGCAGTAATGTCTGCAAAGATCTAAAGACGCATTTTATTTGTCAGGAAAGAACTCGTGTCCCTGAATGGCCTGCACTTGTGTGTGGAGAATAGCTCCCAGCATGCCTCAGCCTCAGTACAGGAAGCCCTGCCGAGGTACAGAGCTGCAGAAAGTGAAGGCCTGTTCCCTCAATGGCCAGCACTTTCCTCTCCCCTGTTTAAAACCGCTGCCTTTATGGTGACATTATCATTTTAGCTGTACAAAGGAGTGTGGCTTGGATATGCACTTATTGGTCCAGATGGAGCCAAGGTCCCGCTGTGATGTGGGAATAGTAGAAGCAAAGCTTCCTGGTATTGGCTATAAAGTCAGTGTCCATCCCATAGAACACATGCAGTGTGCACCAGACCACACAGAGCCCATCCAGGGGACAGTGAGCAACAGTATCCCTATAGCCTATAGCCAGGTTTGTGTGACAGCTCTGCGTGCATCAGATGGCCTCCCTGACTCCAAAATTATTCCTGTGCTAAGATGTTTTCTTGATCCCTTTTAACGTGTGATTTTTAAAGCTAATTCTAGTTTGTTCTCCCATCCTTCACTGAAATCAAGTATTCCTAACCATGTGTCTGTGTTCTGAGAGGATTCCAAATTTTGGGTCTCTGGCCAGTTTTGGTTGGCTATGGCTCTACGAATCTAAAGTTGAGTTGAGTCAAGCCTCCAAGGCTTGTTCCCTGCAGACAGATGCACCCCGTGAGCTCTGTCGGGGCCTTGGCTTACAGTCTGTATCTCTACACTGAACTTCCCAGAGTTGATGGAGAAGTTTAGTCAACAGCAGGTGGCCCAAGCAGACTTGGGGAAATGGAACTGAGGAGTGAGACAGGCAGAGGAGACAAGGAAATGCCATCCAGCTAGTAAGTTTGTAACCCAAAGCCGATCCATCTTTGCTGGCAGGTGGCTGACTACGTTTCTATTATTAGCTGACAAGTGATGTCACAAAACTTGTCATGGCTCCAACTAGGGAATCCTCAGAGGAAGATAAATGAGAAAGGGGCTGCAGTAACAAGGGTGCCCTCTGGGTGACCTCGAGTCACTAGACCTGGGACACATCAGCTGTTCTCTTTGCCCAGTTACCCACACCCCTCCCCACTGGAACTGGGGCACTGGGTTCATGCTGTGTAAATTATCTTCCCAGCCAGGAGCCTGGCTGTTCCCCTCTGAAGTGTGTGAATGTACTTAACCTTCAGTAACCTTTCCATTGTTTACTGTAGAGTATACATTTGTAGCTTCTGGCAAAAGGTAGGAATATCCTAGAGAGCCAGCCAGCCTCCTCGGCTAATGGAGTTGTGAGAGGATGCATTCTTTTTTTTATTTTTTCTTCTTTTCTTTTTTTTCCCTGAAAGGAAAGGAAAAACACTGGCAGCAAAGGAGACTTTTTCCATTTTTTTATTAGCTATAAGTGTGAATACTCTGTAAACAAGGGTCATTCTAACCTTGCAGCAGGCTACAAACCATATTTCCAAGAAAAGTGACGTGGAGTCCAAAGCCAGTCCTTTCTCTGCAGTTCTGTGGCGTCGTTAGGGCTGGCAGACTGTCGGTGTTTTAAAGGGCTCTTTGCTTACTCGTCACAGTCTACCTTCTTAACATACATCTCTAGAGTCTTCAGTGTTTGTTAGTTAGCTTTTCCATATCCATAAGGAGGTGGTAAGCTTGAGATCCTGGAGCTGTGAGCCTTCCAGAGCCCCACATATGCAGTGGACAGAACCACTCAGGCCACAGGGGCCGGGCAGCCCCATCAGACAGACAGACAACACTTGCACGTAGCTATGGCTTTCTAAGAACAAACTGTCAAGTCCAAAGACAACTCCAACTCCCAAACTCCAAAAGGCAGTTCATATATCCAGAAATAAGCTCAAGCTGGACCATAGAACTTCAGGTGTTTAGATAAAGCCAGCATTCCTCAGGAACTTGTAAAACTGGTCCCATCTGCCAAAAAGAGTCATCCCTTTCCTCTGGCAGAAGGACAAATGGCTACCTGTGTTTGCATGTCAAAGCACATGTGGGTCCTCCAGGCCCCCTCAGTATCAAGGTACCGGTTACACGTTTCAAAGTCAGTGCTAGCCTGCTGTCTTCCCAGGGTTGGTCTCCCCTTTCACAGAGAGCCTTGGTCATGTCCAGTCTGCTGGCCATGTCAGTCTACTTCTGTCTTTGCTCTGGGCTCTTCCAGATGCCCCATCTGTTCTCTCTCATATCTACAATAAAAAACCATATCACAGAGATGTCATGTGAGCAGTTTCTTTACTGTGTCTCTTGCTTCCATAAGTGATGCCTATCTTTCCCATTTCTGACCCCTTCGTTAAGTAATGGCTTAGGACTTGTTTAACCTCCTCTTACTTTGAAGTAAAACAAGAACTAGAGTGAGGCTTGACGCTTCCTCCATAGGAAAGCAAGTGTCGTTTCCAGTACACTGTTAGTCTGAAGTACTCACAGTCCCAGTAGTTATGCAGACACCATAGGGAGGGATTGTGTGGTCTTTTTCAGTTTGCTACACTGTGTTCACCTGTTGAAAAGAGCCCGGATGCATCAGACACAGATTCCCTCACTGTGTTCCTGTCTGATCAATACATGGGACCAACATCTATCTGTTGAGCATCTAGCATGCTAAAGATTGTGATAGCCGATAAAGTAGGCTCTTGAGATATTTGTGTAAGGCGAGGTTAATTAATAATCCCACTTGAGTTTTGAGAGGGGCTCTCTTCTGAGCGCCATTATTCTGAAGTAATTGTGGTTGAAACTGAGCCTCAGAATCCGACAGCAGTACTGAAGAACTGCAAGCCAGCATAATGTGTATTTGTAATAACAAATCTGAGGTACAGCTCAAATGATAATGTTTTTAATGATAGAGCATTGCTGTCCAATTGTTGAAAAGATCTTAAGATAATGAAGGTGCCTTGTTAACCTACACAGCCTCTGTTGGGCTGCAGACACCCCTGCTGCTGGAGAACCCATGTCCTGAAGCACTGCATCAAAGCCTGTCAAACTGATGTGCCAAAATTTCATCCCATTTCTTCTTTGTTTACATGTAGGCGATCTCCAACAATGCAGAGTTAAACAATTTTCTGCCTAAAACCTTTTTGTTAGACACTTTTGCCCTGGGATATAAATACCCCAGGAAGCAATTACCCAGTCAGACGTATAACTTTATCTTATAGCTCACAAATGAAGTATGTTTCTAAATCATTTATTAAAAAATACTCCTTTACTGGGTGATGAGGGTAGAACTCCGTACACAGCACTCGTCCTCATATGTGAGGTCCTGTCTTCCATCCTTAGTATACACATGCTCTCCCTCCCTTCCCCTCCCTCTTCCATTCTGTCCCTTTCTTAGAAAAAAAGATGTATAAGGACTGATTTTACTACATTATTGCTATGTTTTCAATAATGTCTTACTTTTAATCCTTTTGTATACATGGTTATCAAAAATTACCTTACTTGATAACTCTAGCTTCTTTACTTATTTTCCCCTCAACACTGCTAGCTAACTCAGGATCCTTACAAGGCCCACAGACTCCACAGTCCACAGGCAGCAATTCAATGACAGAAGTTCCCGGTGATCTGAAGCCACCGACCCCAGCATCTACCCCTCATGGGCAGATGGCTCCCATGCAAAGTGGAAGGTATGTGCAGGGGACTCTGACATAGACTCAAGTTTTGTTTGTTTTAGGAGCAAACTTAATGGAAAAAAATGTCTCTGATTAGCTTTTAAATGTTTATGACTACTAGTTTTAGCATGTAATTTGGGGTGGTTTTGTATTTACCAGTTTTGAGAGTGGTTTATTCCTTGAACTCAGTGTATGCAGATGATGCTGCAGTGTCATTCAGTTTTCATCTTTTGTATCTTTCAGAAGCAGTACAATCAGTGTGCACGACCCATTCTCAGATGTAGGTGATTCATCATACCCAAAACGGAACTCTATGACTCCAAATGCCCCGTACCAGCAGGGCATGAGCATGCCAGACATGATGGGCAGGATGCCCTATGAGCCCAACAAGGACCCCTTCAGCGGAATGAGAAAAGGTACATAGAATGGAGTTTCTGCATGGGCATGGTCCTGAAGGCTTCCTTCTCTCCACTGACTCACAGCCTATTCCCCCATTTATCTGGGACAGTTCTAAGCACCTGCCATTTAGCGACTCAGCTAATTTCCTTGCTTCAGCTATAGCCGTAGGAAAACATAGCTTCTGTGTGTCTCTCTTGCCTCATCTAGAAATGATGAAAACAGTAAGGCCTGTGTCAGGTGTGCTATAACGATTAAGTCCCAGCACAAGAAGCCTGTAGAAGAGCAATGGACATGTGATCAGGAAGCACCCGCTGTCCAACAGCAGCAGCATTGTATTAACTTGTGCTGGGTGCTAACTAGTGTATTTGTGATTCTTACACAGTTCTTCAGGGATTTAACAGACTTGGGGGGGGTGGCGGGGAGACAGAGGCCATGACTGAAAGAAAGCAAATACACAGGAAAGCTTGGAAGTAGTAGTGGTAGCCTGTGAATGCATTGGAGGAAGGCAAAGGTCCTGAGATTGGTGTGTCACAAGGAAGGAAGCGGGAATGTCAGACTCCACTAGGCATCAGCTGCCGGGGGCCAGGGCCCTTCCACTGACTGGCACATTCATGAATTTGAGGTTTTCACCAACTGAGAAATGTTTCTTGGAGGAATGGTAGGATTTAATATTTCTTTAAAGTAAGTATGTGAGTACCTAGTGGTCTCCAGGCTTTGAAAGAGATGAGAAGAGATCCATGGGGTTATGGGGACAGTTGAGCCAGAGATGCCATGTGGGAGTCAGACACTCGCAGTGGAGAAAAGACCCCTATGGCTTTGAGGGGTGGTGGAAGAGTGGGAAGGGGACTCTGGGACTAGTTGTCCATAGTCAATAGTTGGGAAAGGGACAGAGTAGTAGGAAACAGTGTCTTGAGCAGCTGTGGGGGGGCCAAGTCATGGGTTGTGTGTCCAGCTAGGCTAGGGTTACTCTTCACTGTGTATCTGCAGCAGTGGGACTGGTGAGCTCAGGGAGTGCAGGGGTGTCAGGTGCCAGAAACACCAGAGCTGGGTCTTCCTAACCCTGGCCAGCCGCAAGGAGTCCATATTGAGGTGGTGCATCAGGGGGGAGCCTGGCAGATGTCTTTTTAGTATTCACCCAAATGCAAGTAGATCCTATCAAAGTAAATCATATGAGTATTTTTTTAAATACACAAGAAATTGTGAAGAAGTTTTTGTAAGTAGTTATTCTGGGATCTGATAGAGAATGGTGGCTTTCTTATACTTAGATGTTGGGACACATGAGTTTTTGGGTTTGGTTTTTCTTCTTGAGACAGGGTCTCACTGTGTACCCCTGGCTGATCTAGAACTTTATATAGACCAGGCTGGCCTCAGACTCAAAGAGATCCACCTGTCTCTGCCTCCCTGAGTTCTTGAATTAAAGGTATGCACCACATCAGCTGTGGGGTTCGTGCTACCCATAGAGATACAGAGAGCCCCAGCTTGGTTTTGATGAGTATTATGGGCTATAAAAATATAACAGAAGAATCTCAAAATTTTTACCATTGGGCATATATTAGCCAATGAAATTTATGCACCTGTGTGCATACATCCACAGAACAGGATGAATTTGTGCAGTTAGGGGAGCAAGTAGAGAGCTGTGCTGCTGAGAGACAATGTGTCTTCAACCATGTAAGTCATAGATAAATATCACAGCCCTGTGTACTTCAGCTCACCTGCTGCCTCATAGCATTGGGGCATTTATTAACAAGATAAAGCAGAAACACAGTCCACAGAAAACCGTTTTCTTACTGCTCTAATTTGTTGCAAATAAATTTTTCTGTTCTTCAATTTGCCTTATTCTACAACTCAGACCAGTTTGGTCAGTGGAAACCACTATTGGTGGTATCACTGTCATTGGCCTGTGACTCGGTGGGGCAATGAGGCAGCCTGGTCTCAGAACCCTTACCTTGTCGAGCCAGCCTTGCCTGCTCACCACCTGCCCCCAACCTCTCTCTGAAGCTCTGACCATGGTTCTCGGTGTACTTGAATGTCTGTTAATGTACATACACATAGCTGTGCTTAATCTTTAACCAGACCCTGGTGCTGTAGCACTCAATGGGCTGTTTCCTCCCATTTTGCTCATACAAAACAATGGTGATTGTTGAAATAAACTATTTCTGTATGGCAATGTTTCCATGAGATGGGATGCTAGAAGATGTATTGAGTCAAAGAATAGGAGTGAAGTGACTCCGTCATGTTTAATGGTATAGCAACCTGCCCCAATCTCACTGACTTTAGTCAGTGGAACTTCACTGTGTCTCATGACTGTGTCATGGGGGCAGAGCTGATGTCTCCAGTCTTTACTAGGGACTCAGCTAGAGTCTGGGACCTTTCTATGTGGTTTCTAGAGTACCCTTGACATGAAAGTTGAGGTCTAAGATAACCAGCCCTTTTGAAAGCTCATCGAGTGTTTGCTTGCTTCCATTTTCCTGAGCCTGTTGGTCAGCACTGGCCGTGAGAACCAGCCAGTGTCGTTATTGGAGGGAGCTGCATGGTCTGTGAATATGCACAGACGTGCTTCTGTGTGTTCTGGGGGATGACTGCCCACAGCCGGTACGGGCAGAAGTTGCAGCGGTCACATGCTCTGACTGCACTGTGTAGGTGTGTGGGCCTCTGCTCACTAAGCTAATTCTTACCAGCTACCATAACATCCACCAGTCAGATTGTGACTGACATTTCTGTAATGTTCAGTGAGGCCACACATCGTCTATCACATGCTGAGTGACCATTTAGTTTCCTTTTTCTATGAAAGGGTTTTCTTATTTTTGACTTACTATCTTTTTTTGGTGATTTTTTTTAAAGAGGTCTTTTAGAGAATTAAATTACTTAACTTCAATTATGACACTTGACTTCTATCTATCTCCGTCTTTTCATCTACAAAATGGAAAGTAATCTTAAAACTGGTTCTACCACAAGTTGATGTGAGCTCAGAGAGAAGGTGGCAACTGTGATAACCCTGCATCGGTCTCAGCCCTTATGTCTGGTCCACAGTTTTACAGCACTGACTTAGAAAAGTTGGGTCAGCTTTACCTCGAATGGAGTAGCTGTCATAGAATGAAGAAAGTAGTAGCCATGGGGCTCTAAGTGTCACACAGAACCAAGGTGCTGGCCAGGACTGAGCTCCTGAGTTCCAGATCCCCTTCAAGTTTATTCAAGTTGCTGGCAGGATCCATTCCTTCGTCTCTTATGGTTATGGGGCCAAAGTGACTGTCATATTGTTAGCTGTTCTCTGTCCACCCTTCAGAATTTCCCCTTTCTATGACAAGGCCAATAGGAGAGTCTCCGATAGGTTCCATCTTTATCCTTCAGCCCCAGATTTGAAGGGTTGCTTGAATGCTCCCTTTCGATGAATACACAGTCAGCTGTAACAGTCACTGCATCTCTGCATTTCTCTTGAGGTGGAACACACCATCATGATGGGGCCACAGCCCAGTCTGTTTCTGGGTCCTATCCAGGTCAAGGCTCAAGCAAAGCAAACAGAGTGGATACAGGTGTCTTTGAGGCCATCTCTGGATTCTGCTTCCTTGGGCAGATTTCATATCCTTTTGTTAGGATTGTGGTATGCCATACAACATATAGGAACCATAGAAATTACTAGAAGGGATGTGTAGGCCCTTTGACTTTTAAAAAATACTTAAATTCTGCTCTTTTTATTTGAAATACCACAGTGCCTGGAAGTAGCGAACCCTTTATGACACAAGGACAGATGCCCAACAGCAGCATGCAAGACATGTACAACCAGAGTCCTTCAGGTGCCATGTCCAATCTGGGCATGGGGCAGCGGCAGCAGTTTCCCTATGGAGCCAGTTATGACCGGAGGTGAGTGCTTTTTGGTGAAGATGAGCGAGTTTACCAGAAACTGCTCTGCTCGAATGCACATTTCTGGGTCCTGGTGGCTGAGCTTCCGGTGACAGCACAGTGAGTGACCTTTCTTGTGCCACCAATGACCACTTACAACGGGTGGCCTCAGCCGGACTATGAGACCTCAGTCTGTCTCAGTCAGTCAGGGACTGTTGTTTATGAGCAGCTGTCAGCAGCATACCTCAGATTCTAACGTGACTGTGGCTGGCCATTCTTCCCTCAGAACTCTGGTGCCACAGCACACTGCACCATCCCCATCTCTGAGAAAGCCCACCATTCGCAGACACAAAAGCCTCTCCCATGAATCCATTCTGACATGCACATGGCAGGTCAGGCCACAGGATCACTCTTACACTGATTGTGCTTCGGTAGGAAGACAGAAAGATGTCACAGGAAAGCCTAATCCTCCAGTGGTGACAGCGATGGGCTTTCTTCATAAAGAGATGCCTCACCTGTGCCCCTAGGTGACACCAAAGGCCTCACATGTAATGGTGTAGTCTCTGCTTCCCTAGTGAGAGAGAGGTTTCAAGTAGGCTTTCGGCATGCTGTGGTTTATAAGAAAAGACATGAAGCACACAAGAGTAAAGGGCCTGTCCCCTCTGCCACTGTGGTGTGCTGGTGAAGGACAGAACTAATTTGAGTTCCTTCCTCCATGATCCTGGTATGGGCAGTGTCTGCCCAGGGCAACGTGGCCACACCTGGGCCCTCTCACCAGCACACCTGCTGGACCCAAGGGAGGGGCAGTGAGTGGAGGGGACTTAGACCAAGGAGAGAGTGTGAAAGATCACTGTTACACTGCATGAGGTGTCTCCCTGGGTCTTCTGGGAGCCTGGCTCCTACAGTGCAGCAGCACGGGTAACCAGATGGCAGGTGATGCTCAGTGACCCTCACATGTGATGGACAGCTGTTGGTATCCTCTGCTTCAGTGAGCCAGCCCAAATGCCTACTGCATGGAATGAAGGTTGACTTTAGCCATTGTGGATCCCTAGTACATGAGATAAGGGTTCAGCTGGGTTTGCTTGGGTTTTAGGATCCAGTAAGAGCTACTGATTTTTTTTTTCCCAATGAGAGTAGACAGTGTACAACGACAGACACTCCTAGAGAATCTCCAGTAAACTTGCTCTCCTGTCGCCTACAGAGTGCCTGGCTTTGACTAGTCCACCTCAGAGCCTTTTACCTCATCATAAGCAGTCTTCTGAAAAATGTTACCTGCCTGTCCTAAGTTTTATTCTTGTCAATTTAGTTCTTTTCTCTAAACTTTGTCTACTTGCATATGGTAGTCTATTTTTTTCTTATTTTCATTTCTTGATCAGATTAATAATATATTCAATCCAGTTACTCTCCCCTCCTACAAGATTCAGTAATTCTAAATTAGACGAGTTTATTGCCAAAGCTCCACATCCGTTACCCTTGAAAATGTTAATTTATGGCATTTACAGTTTCTAAATGTGAGAGCAGTTGACAATAAACGCTATCTGTTTCTGTACAACAACTTGATAGGAGTGCGTTTCAGTTGTTGTTAGTGTCGGTTTCCATCCCCTTTGTAATTAGGAACTTAGAATTTTGACCACTCCTCTGCCAGGTTTAGCATCTGGGAGTTCACTCCCGAAGTCTAGCTTTAAAAACTGAAACATATCTGTCCTCAGTGAGGAAGCATCATCCACGTTCTGATGCTTCTGAACCTTGGTTTCTTCCTGCTTCTTGCTCCCATGACAACACCATGTGGCACTTGCTGCTGGAAGCTTCAGGGGATGGGTGGGGCTTCTGCCTCAAAGGAAGAGGCCACAGCCAGGACAAGTACACACAAGGTCCTGCCTGTCCAACCGGTATCCCTCTGACACCTATTAACAACAGCCTGAGCTGGGAGTTTGGCTCCACTCCGGAGATGGGCGTTACCGTACCTGCAAGAAGCTGGGCTACAGCTGTGGCCTCCTGTGCTGTTGAAAGTGGTGTGTGTGAAGAGCAGGCAGGGCCATTGGGTACAGCGTCTAGAAATGGGCTGTTCATGTCTATGTTTGCCTCAAGTCCCATGTCGACTAAGTTTTCTTTGAATACCTTGCTGTAGGCATGAGGCTTATGGGCAGCAGTATCCAGGCCAAGGTCCTCCCACAGGACAGCCGCCGTATGGAGGACACCAGCCTGGCCTGTACCCACAGCAGCCGGTGAGTTGGCCCGTGGGTGTGGGTCTGTTTTCCCATTATCTTTCTTATGAAGATTTGGGGAGCACTAACAGAAGTCATACACTAGAGAGTAGTCAGGGTGGGCTAGCTAGAAAGTTTAAACTCAAAATTGACATGTAGTATTCTGGGATACATAACAGCATGCTGGACACATGTCTGTGGTCACCCCCATGCCCACAGGTTCCAGACCCATGAACTGAGCCAACCACAGATCAAAAGACAAGTGCACAGAACATGTGCATACATTCCCTTCCTCATCGTTCTCTAAACAAATAGGGCACAGCTGCTTATATAGCATTCACTTACACTGTATTGTCAATCTGAGTACTCGAGAAACCACCCAAATGAAAAAGAGTGCATGTGGATGGTATAGAAAGCTTGAGCCTTTGTCTCTAAGGGTCTTGAAGGTCAGTGGATGTGGCCCGCAGGGGTGCTGGAACCAGTCTTTGTAGATACCTAGGGACAACTGTTTGCTATTTAATCAATCCACTTTAGGATAGAAATGTACCATACTTACAACAAAGGACACCCAGACTGTCGTAGCTCTTTTAAACTAAGATATTAACACCACATATTTTGGTGGGCACTATGCCCCCTAAAGTGTACTCACTTATTTTTTTCCTTAATAATTAATGGTGTATTTATTTTGAATCATGGATAATTCATGCTGGCTCCCAGATGAGTATGCAGAAGTCCCAGTGGCCCTGAGGGTTGAACTCTTGATGTGGTCTCGGACACTCTGATCCATCTGGTACTGAACTACCTTTTTGATCTGAGATCACTGGATAGATAGATACATACATACATACATACATACATACATACATACATACATACATACATACATACATACATGAGAATTGTCTTTTTAGAATTTTTCAGTAACAAAGTCATTTTGAAATATGCATTTCCTTCTGGAGCTTACCTTACAATCATTGAAGCCACTTACTGTAAACAGTTTGAAGTGAAGTGAAACAGCATAGTTCAGCCCTCAACGTCCCTGCTGCCCGTCAGGAAGTCCCACCAACCTGATGGCACTGGTAAAGAGTCCCCAGGGGTAGAGCTGAGTGGAAGGAGTTGTGTGGAGGGACCAGTGTGCATCACGGAGAACCGAACCTGGACAAGCTGAGCATCTGGGCAGGAGCCAGGATATGGACATCAGGTGTGGTGGCCCAGCATGAGGAGCTGTGTCGGCATTGAGGCCTAAGGGGTCCCTTTAGTCCAGAACCTCCCAGGGTGACCCTGGGATCTCCAGCATGTCTGCTTCTGTCTGTCCACGTGTGCCGCTGTGGTGGTCACCCGTGCTGTGCTGCTGTCCCTGTGTTGCAGCCCAAGCAGAGGGTCCTCGTTTTTTTCTCACAGAAAGTTTCATACATGTGGAAACAAACTTGGGAAGCCCTCCTTACAGTGTGTGGTGATACCGAAATACAAGCCTAAATTGTTAGCAGTTGTCAGTATGTAGGAGTGTCCCATATTCGTTCTGAAATGAACATTCTACCCAGTAATAACTGTTTTTGCATAATTTGAGTGTGTGTGATTATACCTCTAAGAGTACATCAGTGTGACTTGTCTGTGTATGAATTTCAGAATTACAAACGCCACATGGATGGTATGTATGGGCCTCCAGCCAAGCGCCATGAGGGGGACATGTACAACATGCAGTATGGCAGTCAGCAGCAGGAGGTGTACAACCAGTATGGAGGCTCTTACTCTGGCCCGGACAGGAGGCCCATCCAGGGACAGTATCCCTACCCCTACAACAGAGAGAGGATGCAGGGCCCAGGCCAGATGCAGCCACATGGAATCCCACCTCAGATGATGGGCGGCCCCATGCAGCCATCCTCCAGCGAAGGGCCTCAGCAGAATATGTGGGCAACACGCAATGATATGCCTTATCCCTACCAGAACAGGCAAGGCCCAGGCGGCCCTGCACAGGCACCACCTTACCCAAGCATGAACCGTACAGATGACATGATGGTACCAGATCAGAGGATCAATCATGAGAGCCAGTGGCCTTCTCACGTCAGCCAGCGCCAGCCTTACATGTCATCTTCAGCCTCCATGCAGCCCATCACGCGCCCACCTCAGTCATCCTACCAGACGCCACCATCACTGCCAAACCACATCTCCAGGGCACCAAGCCCCGCCTCCTTCCAGCGCTCCCTGGAGAGTCGCATGTCTCCAAGCAAGTCTCCCTTCCTGCCCGCCATGAAGATGCAGAAAGTCATGCCCACCGTCCCCACATCCCAGGTCACTGGGCCACCCCCTCAGCCACCACCAATCAGAAGGGAGATTACCTTTCCTCCTGGGTCCGTAGAAGCCTCACAGCCAGTCCTGAAACAAAGGCGAAAGATCACCTCAAAAGACATTGGTAAGAGTTGGGAAGTCTTGTTCTAAAAATGGGTTGGTTTTTTTGTTTTGTTTTTTTGAAATCTAAAACTTTAATTTAGATGTCATTTCCATCCATTCAACTGGATGAGATTCTTAACAATACAGATTATCAGGATATTTACATATAGGAGCGTTGATTAAAAGCCATTCATCTGAATAAGAAACAGGCCAGAGAAGAGCCTGCATCTAAATAATGATACTTCTAGGTGCAAAGGTTGCTTGTGTGAGAGACTAGAGCTTCAGGGGAGAAAGCCAGGATTCCACAGTAGTCACTTGCTGTGCCTTGGCTTCAGATTTAACCTTAACCAAGCCACTTAATTGCTGTAGCCTGTGCTTAAGAGACCCACTGTAAGGCTGAGGAAATTGAAGGCAAGCCACTCTAATGACAGTGCAAGATGAGTTTCCATGGGGAAAGGTAGATACCTGGCTATGCTATATAGATGGGTAGATGTGATACATGGGATGTTCTCTGCTGTGATGTATGGAGCCACTGTAATCCACACCACACTGGCAGATACAGGCCAAGGCGTTAACCTCAGCTGAATACTAATGTTGCTTGCCCATCCTCTGTGAGACCATGCGAATACTAATTAACGGTCTGGAGTGTCTGGGAGTAAACACAGCTTTTTCTGCATTTATTTTGAGGTTCTTTTAACACAGCAAGGGAAATAATAGCTCTTGGTTGTGTAAGAAAAAAAAAATTTTCAAAACTGTGGAATCACTTGGCTTAAAATCATTTGCAGTGATTAGAAAATTAAAGATATCTAATTAATGATAGTAAGAGTCTCTCAATTGTTGGACACTAAACAAATAGATACATAGTAAGAAAAAATAGGATATCTTATATATGGGAGCTGTCGGGGAGATGCTGAAGTGTGGATAGTGAGCCCAAGTTTATAGAGAATTTAAATGAAATAGATACTTATGTTTGTGTGTGCTTAAATAGACACATATATCTACTTTTTAAAAGATGTATTTGTTTTTATTTTATGAGATTTTTGCCTGCTTGTATATCTATACTATTAAGCATGCATTGCACAAGAAGCCAGAAGAGGGCATTAATTCCCCAGGAACAGGTGATCAGATGGTTGTTAGCTGCCATTTGGGTGTCAGGACCCCAACCCTGTCCCTCTCCAAGAACAACAAGTGTACTTAACTGCTGAGCCATCTCTCCAGCCCAATTTCTGTTTTTGTTATGGTTTTTGTTTTTGTTTTTATTACCTCTTAGTTTCTATCAGTGCTTGCCTTCAACCTAGGGAAATCGATGCTCATTTTCAAAAATCTGATTCCTTGTATTACAAAAGTCATGTTTTCCTCTTTAAAAGTTTGCAAAACAAAATCACACTAAAGAAGTCTTTGAACACATCTACATACAACAGGCGTGTGCACACACACCCCACACCACTTGTAGCTGTGGTGAGTGAGATAGATCAGGTTTCCTCTCTACCTCAGGGCCACATCACAGGCCCCTGCAGGCCTCCTGAAGAGCTCCCACTGCAGACTCGGGACATGGGGAGCCCCTGCTATCGCACCCTCCTCAGCAAATCTGGCAGCTGTCATTTAGGCGTCTTTAGCGTCAGGAGTAGGAGAAACAACAGAAAGGAGTGCTTTCAGTCTCCCTCTCCTTGGCTCATCCACACCCTGAAAACCAACCATCGAAATGCCTGGTGTGCAGCCACAGTGCGTTCTGAAGGCAGGGACATAGAAGTGGGAGAAAACAGCACTAAAAAACCAAGACCTTTGTCTAAGGTTACACTGTTTGTGGATTGCATTTTCCTTCTGCTTGCACAAACTTGCCAGTCTTCTCAAGATCCACCTTCGGGTCCTTTTGAGTGAAGGAAGTGGAAGAAGGCAACTGTGCTGGTGTTGCTTTGATTGTGCAAACCTGTGAACCCTTAGAGATGCTCATCAAGTGGCAACAACAACAACAAAAACAAACTGTCCAAGATGACAAGGACCGTGTGTGCTGGCCAGGCCCACTGACACCTAGAAGAACTTAGGGCCCCTCTTTAACCCCCAAAGCAACAAGGATCTTAAAGAACAAAGTGTCCTACAGAGTTAGCATCTCCAACTAAAGTCAAGTGACCATGCATGGCTGACTCTGCAAAGAGCATTTGTTGAAAACTGTCCTACAGCAAACACTTTACTTAATACCTGCTTATGTTCATAATACCCTGTTTTCCTTTTTAGTTACTCCTGAGGCGTGGCGCGTGATGATGTCCCTTAAATCGGGTCTGTTGGCTGAGAGCACTTGGGCTTTGGACACTATCAACATTCTCCTCTATGACGACAGCACGGTCGCCACCTTCAACCTTTCCCAGGTGAGGCAACCATAGTGCAGCTAGCAACCAGTTAGAATGGTAGAAAATTAAGCGACACACAGTGCTTGTGCTTCTGCCTAAGGTGATGAGCACAGAGCATCCAAGACTTTGAATCACTATAGTTACTATGAAGCAACATTAATCACCATATAGTTGCCTGAGTACTTAGTCTGGGATGATAATTTATTTCCATCTTCAGGGTAAATATATGCATATATAGACATGTATATGCTTATATACATTCCCATATTTCTCATAGAAAAAAGTGGCGTGTGTGTGTGTGTGCGTGCGTGCGTGCGTGCGTGTGTATGTGTGTGTGTGTGTGTGTGTAAGATAGTAGCAAAGAAATTGTTGCTTGGAGTGATCAGGACAGTGGGAATAATCAAAACATAATATGAAGTTGTAATTAATGAATTACAGAAAGTCCTTTTCAGGGCAGCCTTCTTATTTAGTGTTTATTCTGGTACTTTCTTATTTATTGCCTGGTTTTTTTAGTCATTTGTCTGAGGCAGGCCTCATGTGACCTGACCGTGAACCTACTATGTGATCTTGAAGTGGACTCCTGCTTCCATGTGCTAGGGTTGTTGTGTGTGTCACCCACCCCATGCTGTGGCCTTTCTCTTCCCCCGTATGAAATAGGTAACTTATGTAAGAGACTAGAACTCATTGAGCCCTGTGTCCCCACCATGTGGCTGAAATGATTAGGGGTCAGGTCTGCCTCCCCACTTCTGCCTTTCTCCTGGTGGTTTTGAAGCAATCGTTTGAAATCCTGCTGTTTCCCCCATCTGGGAACCCTCAGTTCAGAGTTGGCCTTAAAAGTAGCTTCTAGCAGTATGACTGAGAGAGAGCAGGAAGCCGGAGAAAGTTGCCAGTCATGGGGCTGTGGGCTTTAAAGAGGTGTGGGGGGTAAAAGTGAGAGAGGCTTACTTACTCTCTCTGTGGTGTGTTAACTGCTCAGCCACCTGAGGATGCTGGGCTGTCCAGTTGCCTTCCTGTTATTGAATAAGACCAGAAATTTTTACGGAACTGTTTCTTTCACTATGTCTTCCATGTAGCCCAAAAGGCAGTTACCTGCTGGTGAAATAAATTCATATGTCACAAACACTGCATGATCTGGTGATGGTGTCCAGCTGTTTCTAGAACCTTTGTTCCTGTGACAGGTGAACTCTGGCTGGTTGTGCATTTTTATACCCAGAAGGGCTTGGTTAATTCGCCCTTTTCCCAGGGATAAGGTAAACTTGTGAAAGGAAGGAACCACCCACACATCACGTGGGACAATACCTTCGGGATCACTAAAGCGACTGCTTGGTACAGCTTATTGGTACCCCAGGACAGGCGTTCCAAGCTCCTTCCAGGGAACAGGGAGTAGATGTGAAAGTGTGGCTGGTTTCCATAGTGTCTGTCACACAGGATCTTCATTGCATGTCATTTACAGCCTAAGTATGACAGGCGGCGAGCTGGAGCGAGCAGTGCAAGCAGGAGCTCTCAGCTTTCCACAGGCAGTGCCTCTCTGCCAGTGGCTCTTGTCTTTCACTCAGCATTGAGAATAACTGAAATGTAAAATTGCATTTCATGGAGCACTCTGTTCATTTATCAGGGACTAAATTGATTTGTTTATAATTTTCAGTGTTTATGAGCTGCTACATTGCTGAAATTATCTCCTCCAAAAGATATAGAGAGAGCATAAATTAGGGCAACCTGTGACACCTGAGACAAAAATAACCATAAAAATCCTAAGAATAATAACCATAAAACCCCAGCAGACGACTCCCAGATAAACAGTAGAAGAGCAAACAGATTCGCTTTGGGCTCGAGAGTCTATAAAATCCTTGCTCTTACTCCTCACAGTGCACAGTCCCTAACTCATGCAAACTGTACAGAGTGGTGGAGCTCTCCCCATGCTGGAGCCATGGCTATAGGAAGCCAACGCTGGTGCTGGCAGTGCCAGTTGGCAGAGACCCAGAGACACACTTGTGCACATTTAGTCCATCATCAGGAAGGTAGCGCTTGGATGTATGGTGTGCCCTCCAGGGTCTGGCCAGAAGGACATTACAAAAGTATAGATGTCATTACCCAAAGCTGCTCTAGGCTCAGGCTCTTGCTCCTTCCTTCGGAGCTGATGTCCTCACCCTGTACCTGTTCTCTCTCTCCTCTCTTCTCTAGCTGTCTGGGTTCCTGGAGCTTTTAGTGGAGTACTTTCGAAGATGCCTAATTGACATTTTCGGAATTCTTATGGAATATGAAGTGGGTGACCCCAGCCAAAAAGCACTTGATCACCATTCGGGGAAGAAAGATGACAGCCAGTCCTCAGGAGATGATTCTGGGAAAGAAGAAGAGGATGCTGAGTGTCTTGATGAAGAGGAGGAGGAAGAAGAGGAGGAAGACAGTGAAAAGATGGAGTCAGAGGGGAAGAGCAGTGCTGCCCCTGCTGCTCCAGATGCCAGCGTGGACCCCAAGGAGACGCCAAAGCAGGCCAGTAAGTTTGACAGGCTGCCCATAAAGATTGTCAAAAAGAACAACCTGTTTGTGGTGGACCGGTCTGACAAGCTGGGCCGCGTGCAAGAGTTCAACAGTGGACTCCTACACTGGCAGCTGGGGGGCGGCGACACTACAGAGCACATCCAGACTCACTTTGAGAGCAAGATGGAGATCCCTCCTCGAAGGCGCCCGCCTCCGTCTCTGAGCTCCACAGGAAGGAAGAAAGAGCTGGAAGGCAAAGGTGATTCTGAAGAGCAGCCAGAGAAAAGCATCATAGCCACCATCGATGACGTCCTGTCTGCCCGGCCAGGGGCCCTGCCGGAAGACGCCAACCCAGGACCTCAAACCGATAGCAGCAAGTTTCCCTTTGGAATTCAGCAGGCCAAAAGCCACCGGAACATCAGGCTCCTGGAGGACGAGCCCAGGAGCCGAGACGAGACTCCCCTGTGCACCATCGCGCACTGGCAGGACTCGCTGGCTAAGCGCTGCATCTGTGTGTCCAACATCGTGCGGAGCTTGTCTTTCGTGCCTGGCAACGACGCAGAGATGTCCAAACACCCAGGCTTGGTGCTGATCCTGGGAAAGCTGATTCTGCTGCATCACGAGCATCCTGAGAGAAAACGGGCGCCACAAACCTATGAGAAGGAGGAGGATGAGGACAAGGGGGTGGCCTGCAGCAAAGATGAGTGGTGGTGGGACTGCCTTGAGGTCTTGCGGGATAACACATTGGTCACGTTGGCCAACATTTCCGGGCAGCTAGACTTGTCTGCGTACACGGAGAGCATCTGCTTGCCGATCCTAGACGGCTTGCTGCACTGGATGGTGTGCCCCTCTGCAGAAGCGCAGGACCCCTTTCCCACCGTGGGGCCCAACTCAGTCCTGTCACCACAGAGACTTGTGCTGGAAACCCTCTGTAAACTCAGTATCCAGGACAACAACGTGGACCTCATCTTGGCCACACCTCCATTTAGTCGTCAGGAGAAATTTTATGCTACATTAGTTAGGTACGTTGGGGATCGCAAAAACCCGGTCTGTCGAGAAATGTCCATGGCGCTTTTATCGAACCTTGCCCAGGGGGACGCACTGGCTGCAAGGGCAATAGCTGTGCAGAAAGGAAGCATCGGAAACTTGATAAGCTTCCTCGAGGACGGGGTCACGATGGCGCAGTACCAGCAGAACCAGCAGAACCTCATGCACATGCAGCCCCCACCTCTGGAACCCCCTAGTGTAGACATGATGTGCAGGGCGGCCAAGGCTTTGCTGGCCATGGCCAGAGTGGATGAAAACCGCTCAGAATTCCTTTTGCACGAGGGTCGGTTGCTGGATATCTCGATATCGGCTGTCCTGAACTCTCTGGTGGCATCTGTCATCTGTGATGTACTATTTCAGATTGGGCAGTTATGACATACGTGAGAAGGCACGCATGTGTGAGTGAAGATAGAGGGTCACATAGAACTGGCTGTTTTCTGTTCTCGTTTATCCAGCGTAGGAAGAAAGAAAAGTCTTTGCTCCTCTGCCCCATTCACTATTTACCAATTGGGAATTAAATCATTAATTTGAACAGTTATAAAATTGATATTGCTGTCTCTGTGTATAAGTACATCCTTTGGGAATTTTCTATTTCTTTTCTTTTTTTTTTTTTTAACCAAAGTTGCTGTCTAGTACATTGAAAGGTCACTTCTTTTTTCACAAATTTCCTTTTTAATGTCTTTTTTTTTTAATTCATGTTGTATTGCAGTTTTGGGGAAGTGAATTGACTTTAAAGAAAAAAAAAAGTTTTGACAAAAGATGCTAAGATAGGAAAATTTCACCACACCGAGGCAAAAAGGTGAAAGAAAAATTGATCCTTGAATTGATTTCCTATGAGTTTTAGTCTCCACAGAATGAAAAAAACAAAACAAAACTGCATCCCGTCACCCAAAGCTCTGTGCAATAGAAACTTCTAGAAAAATAGGTGTAGGGGCTTGAGGAGGTGTGGCAGTCAGTAGTCAGAACTATGATGATACTGGTTTCTCCACAGGAAAGTGGTTACATTAGGCTACAAGCAAAAACAGCGCTTCAGTTAGGGGTGAAAATGCACTCCTAATGGCCATCTGCAGAGTTGCTTCCTCACCACGACCGCCATGTCTGCTGTGGTTCAGCCTCCACGTGACAGTTCTTCACAATTCCTTTCATCATTTTTTAAATATTTTTTTTACTGCCTATGGGCTGTGATGTATATAGAAGTTGTACATTAAACATACCCTCATTTTGTTTCTTTTCTTTTTTTTTTTTTTTTTAGTATAAAGTTTTTAGTTTCTTTTTCATGATGTGGTAACTACGAAGTGATGGTAGATTTAAATAATTTTTTATTTTTATTTTATATATTTTTTCATTAGGACCATATCTCCAAAAAAAAGAAAAAAGAAACAAAAAATACAAAAAACAAAAACAAAAAAAAAAAAAAGAGGGTAATGTACAAGTTTCTGTATGTATAAAGTCATGCGCTATTGGGAGAGCGGCTGGTCCCAATTTGCTTCATGAATCAAGGTGTGGAAATGGTTGCATATGGATTGATTTAGAAAATGGATACCAGTACAGACAAAAAGAAAAAGAACGAAAGAAAAAAGAAAAAACAACTAAAAGGAAGAAACACAACTTCAAAGATTTTTCTGTGATAAGAATCCGCATTTGTATTTCAAGATAATGTAGTTTAAGAAAAGAAAAAAATGAAAAAAACTTGATGTAAATTCCTCCTTTTCCTCTGGCTTAATGAATATCATTTATTCCGTATAAAATCTTTATATGTCCCACATGTTAAGAATAAATGTACATTAAATCTTGTTAAGCACTGTGATGGGTGTTCTTGAATACTGTTCTAATTTGACTACGTGGTTGCGTAGTAACCACGTTATTTACAGGAAATAGGGGAAATGTAACAGCCACCTCCTGGTAACGAAGCCTGAAGGCCAGAAGGGACTTTTGGGGATACCTACTTGAGAGTGGGGACAACGGTTTGATTTCTCAGATTGTTCCACAAATTAGGCCTTCTCTGAGCAGTTAACAGTGACAACACTGAGGTGTGCTGACTTCCCTCATACATGGGTGGTGGCTGCTAGCCCCCTGAAGCAGGGCCTCCAAGCTAACTGGCCTGAAATCATAGCCTTCTGCCTTTCACTGCGTCTTTGTTTTAATCCTAGTTGGCACTCACCATGTTTCTTCTGTGTGCCTCGGAGTTGCTCTGCATTTAGTTTACTCCAGCGTGTATAATATTTATATTGTGCAATGTTAAAAAGAACATGTTACATTGTATGTGGTGGTGTACATAGTGCCAAGTGATGCTTCTATTTCAGGGCGTGCTCTCATCTTCCTGCCTACCTGGTGCACACTGGCTTTCCAGCACTCAGCTCTGACTGAAAGGTCTTTTTCCTGGGTCAGTGACTGTTACTGTGAAACATTCAGTCTCTGAAACTGCTGCATAGTCTTGCTGCTGGTGTCCCCTCTCACTCTACCTCTCTCTGCCCTCTTCAGCCTACACTTCTTGTCCCTCCCACACCTGTTACTGTGGCTCACCTTGCTCACACTGACGTCTGGAAGAGCTAGACAGGAACACACAGTTGTAACCAGGGTGAGACGTGACTCCCTGGTGTCACGAGAAAGAATTTTTTTTTTCCTGCAAGCAGTCCCATCATCTAGCAACCCTCATGCCACTTTGGCCAACAGATCTATGTTGAATTAAAGCCCCATTTATAATTCTGCTAGGTTGTAATACGTCTGCTTGCAAAGAACAGATTTTAGTGTTCCCCAATGAAAATATGCACAAATGTAAGCAAGAGTTCAACAGCATCCTAATTTCTCTTACAGACTTTAAATAAAAGGTACAGACAGACTTTACAGTTATCTAACACCCCAGTTTCCTAGTCAGAAGAGCAGTCTCTTTGAAAGTCAAGTGGCTCTGCAGTAGCCCACCCCAGAGCAGACTGCTGGTGCGCACTGACACCAAGCCCCGTGTCTGGCTCTTCTGGGAAGTCTGCATCCACCCTGCACTCTCACCTAAAACAGACTTCTGGGAGTCCACAAAGGATTTACACCCTGACTGACATTGTCTCGCCTATACTGAGTTGCTGCTCTGTCCTAAAATTTAGTTGTTTTCTTTTCCAGGGCTTCTCAGAAATTTACAGGATGCCCGTACTCTAAATGTGTACCAAAAAAAGAGAGAGAAATAAAGGTGCAAAGAAAGTTTAGTATTTTGGAATGGTGCTATAAAGTTAAATCTGTTGGTATTTGAGTGGTTTTTTTATATATATATATCACATAAGAGATATTACTGGGTGGCATTTGCTAGCAAATAGCTGTATGAGTGTTTGAGTTGGATGTGCAGTCACCTTTTGCTTGGCTGTTCAAAGATTAGTGACAGTGTTTTCCTAGTTCAGACAGAATTGTTCTTGATGGGGGCCATGGGTGGTCTCATACAATGTGTGTTCTTAGCCACCCCTTCTGGGGCCTGACAGCCTTTGCCCCAGACCCATCCATCTCAGACTGTGTTCCTGTCCCCTGTGTGTTCAACCTACAAGGAAGTGAGAAATGAGACAGACAACCCCTTGCTTCTTGCTGGATTTGATCACTTGTTTAGAGTCCAGCACAGTGCCCAGAACTACCACCTCATGCCCCTAGTGCATCCAAGGGAAGTGAACTTGAATGCCGTGGGCAAGACAGCCTTATAAAACTCTATGAAATGTTTCTGATAGCGATATGTAGTCTGCTAAGGCAGTGCCTTACTCATTAACTCAGCAGGAAGTGTTGAGTGTGTACTCCATGCCTAGGCTCCATCAATGGGAAATGGCCCTGCTTTGGTTACAGTTAGATAAGTCATTGAGTCTTCTATACTTATAATTAAGTGAAGCCATGGCAGTTAGACTCCCAGTGTGGTGTGTAGTCTCAACCTACAAATAGTCTGAGGCCCCTGTCTACCAAGTTCCCTCTTGGGTCATTCATTGGGATGTAGAAAGATAAACCATAGGTACCTGGTTCCCAGTGGCACCCAAACCAGTAACCAAGTCTGGGACTACAGAACCCGCCAACGCCACACAAAGGCTGGGTCAAAGAGGTTTTAAATGTTGCCCTTAAACCCCTGCTGCCTCCAGCCTCCAAATGCCAGCGTCCTTCCCAGGGTCTCCCTCTTGTGTTCATCTTCATAACCCTTAAGGAACTTCAAGGGTGTGTTTACCGTTGACAAAGAAACTATTGTCACCTCACTGTGGATTGAGACTTCTGACCTCTGCTCTCCCAATCACTGATGAGTGACAAGGGTGAGTCTACTAAACATGGGTAGTCTGTCAGGGACCAAGGCTCCAAGACATACCAGGCATGTTGATTTCCCATGTGAACTCTCAGAGATCCCTTATCAATCGGTATTTAAATTTCTTCAAAAATTACTTTGGGCCTATGCGCTCCCATAGATAATACATTGGGAAACTAGACTCTTTCTTGAATCTGACCCTAAGTGCTTTTTTGAAGGTTGAACTACAGGACCATTCGTGCAAGTGGTGGGCCAGTTCCATGCACAGTGGCTTGACCTTTAACACTGGGTCACTAAGGTTACTGAAGCTCCTACGTGGCCACCCCGGCACATCTACCTGATAAATGGTGACCGCTAACCTCCCTGTTGGATGATGCCTAGAGCTCTACTTATGAGATAGTTTTCTTTCCTGTTTAGCTTTTCAGTGCTTTATTGTGCCTGAAAAGAAGACACCCAAGGGTCAAGTGACCTCTGGGGCAGGGCTGGAGAGTGGCACCAATTACTTTAATTTGGCTGGTCTTTCACTAGAGGGTGCATTTTTTACATGCTTAGTATAAATATATTAAATAGGGTCTTTTAAAAGCACAATGCTTATATTGGTAGTTCTGCATCTTTTGTTTTGTTTTCACCAAATGGTATGAGCATATGGCCAGTGCTTCTGGGCCATAGGATCTGAAGAGAGCAGGCTCCTGGTGCCATAGAGCCATGGTGATTTGTCGAGATGAGCTTCAATTCTAAAGAACTTGCAGCAAAGGCCTCCTTCAGCCAACTGTTTATATGTAATCTCTTCTCCTCACATTTAATGTTCCATGGCTGATGTGGTGGTAGCAGGATATTGGAATGGAATTGGGGGGCAGGGAAATGGGGGATCAGGTTTGGTTAATTAGTGGAAGTTTATATTGGCAAGCCTGTTTTCAAAACTTAGATTTGGTATATTCATTTGGGGGCTCAGAGTACTGAGCAATCAAATCTTGACAGAAGCAAGCATCTCCCACCCACCCATAGAATCTGTCTTTGATGGTCATTGCTAATAGTGTAACTGGCCCCTGTTTCTGCATATATATGGAGAATTGATTACACTTTGGAGAACAAACGTTCTCTTGAAACTGCTTGCCTAGTTTGCCTCGGGTAGCCAGAAGTAAGGATTGTGTCGTTTCTAGTTTCTCATAAGCATTCAGGGCCCTGCTTGGAGAATTCCCCAGGACTCCAGCCAGTGTCCCAACTCTTGTCACATTTACCCACCTAAGTGGTCCTGGTGTCCAGGAAGAGCTCTGGCTCACCACTGGAGGGCTCACTGGTGAACAAGACTCCTGGGTGCCCAGGAATCAGGACCCACTCCAGCTTTCAGGAGACGGGGGTTCTTTGTGATCTTCCACAATCTAGTCCTGGTGAGATCCTTGGTGCCATTCCCCATGACAGAACAGTGGCCAGACCCTGAACGGAGGATAGACACTTCACAAATCACCATGCTTTTTCCTTTAGAAACTAATACTGATCATCGCATATGTCCTAAGAGGAGATGTAAGGAGTGAGCAGGTGTGTGCCATTCTACCAGGCCATGCTGCACACTGGCTTGGCATGCCATAGCACAATTCAGACAAGGAGCCCAGCCCAGCTGGGTCTGCTATCTGTCAGAGATTCCCAATGCATGCAGGGAGGTGTGGTCCAATGACCCTGTGTGGTCAGCAGCCCCACTTCTCATGCATGAAGAAAACATTCTGTTGGTCTTCAGGAGTTGTTGACTAAAGACCATGGCCTTTGACACCTGCCATGATGTTTTGTACTTGGTCCTGAAAGTTGTTCTCTTAGACTGTACCTCTGTACTGGATGCTGTGTCGTTATCTGCCCTCAGCTCCGAGACTGGGGGAACTAGCTTCAGGTTGAAGGCTGAGTGTGAGCATCCCATGAGGCCCTCCAAAGCCCCTGCAAGCAGGAGAGGCTCAGCCTGTTCACTGAGCACCTATGCCTGGAGTTAGGAGGGGACTGACACATTTGCCTTCATCCCTGGGATAAATAAGTCTAGACACTGGAGAGCTTTTGACAGGTCCACCATAGCCTCTCATCCTGATTTCCCCAGCACCTAGGACCCGGGATTCTGGAACGAGAAAGAGCCTGTGTTCGGTCAAGTGGTAAGTGACCAGTTTCTGTTCAGTTACACTCCTGACCAAGGCCAGAGTCTCCGGCTGAGACAAGAATGGTGTAGCACCACAAAGCCCATTTGACTGTAGCAGCTTCTTCATTCTCCAAGCTACCAATTCCTCAAGACCAACTTTCTCATGCTACTAGAACATTCCATGGAAAACTCCTAGTTTAGAGGGCTCCCTCAATATAGCTAAGCTTTCTTTGGACTCCAGCTCCCAAATAATGACACAGAGACTTTTTATTAATTACAAAAGCTTGGCCTATAGCTTACACTTGTTCCTAGCTAGCTCTTAAAACTCAAATTAACTCATTTATATTAATCTAAGTTCTGCCACATGGCTCATTACCTCTCCTCAGTTACTGTATGTCCATCTTCCTGTGTGTCTTGCTGGCAAATCTCCAGCTCCTCCAAATCT